TGAAGCCAGCAGCATTAGGGCAGCATTAGGAATGACATTCTCTGCCAACAGCCTCCTTTTAGCCTGCTCAGAAATCCCAAGAAGCACAGATTTATTTTTGATTTTTTTTTGCCAAGATGAAGATACCAGTGTTTCTCGTTTTTTGGCCTACTTGGAAGTGCCACCAAATGGATTCATGCAAAAAAAAAAAAGAAAAAAAAAACAAACAAAAAGAAAAAAAGAAAGAACCGAGAGCGGGCGTGGGTTTTATTATAATTTATTGTTTTCTTTCATTTTTCGGTGCACACGTAGTACCGGGCTAATTTATTCTGTTTAATCCCATTACAGTGATTCATCCTCCTCAGTAGGTAAGAAGGAATAGCGTCAGTTGAGGGAGAAGAGGTCTGCCTCCCACTCGGAGGCATCCATCTTTTTCTCTCCCTCGCCTCGCCTCGCCCCGCCTCGTCCCGCCTCGCCTCCCCTCCCTCTTCCTCCTCCCACACCTTCCCCGTTGCCCCGCGCTCAGTTTCCAGCACCCTTCACCTATTAACCCTCCGTTCTCCTCGCTCGTTCTTCCTCCTCAGACATGAAAAGACAGGTGTCTTAGGAATACCCCAAACATTGATTTTTGACCATCTCGACTACCGCCCCTGCCCCTCTCCCCCCCTTACCCAGGATCTGTGTCACGGGTCTGGGCTGCTTTCTTGTTGCCCCCGTCCTTACCGTTAAAGGTCAGCCACACTCGAAGCCCTTGGGATCAATAGACATGTTACTGTACAGAAAGGAAAAAAAAAAAACCCAACCTCTCCTAAAAGCTCGCCGTGTACCTGTAAACATGCATACATTTGTAAGAACACACAGTCCTGCGTTCATGTTCCAACAAACCGACTAGCGTTCTTGGCTTAAGGGCGCCACTTTTACCCTCTTTCATTTCATGAAGTGTGAACGGAGGAATCTGACTGTGTGTGTAGGTGATTTCAATTCAATTCTCACCCACTGATCTGTTTACGCCTCACGGGGGGTGAAGGGGAGGGGGGGTGAAATATTCCATAGGTTTCTTTGTCCCTTGTCACTTTTAGCCGTTGCCACTGACACATCACATGAGCTGGTTTTGTATCTTTTTTTTTTTTTTTTGACGTAGCTCTTGATGGATTTTAACAACTGTAAGAAATAGTGTTTGCACACGTTCAGATAAATATACTGTATATATTGTTTGTTGGAGAGCTGTGAAGTAGGCTGCTGGTCACATGACCAGTGGAAGGAGGATGGTTGGTCGATGGGTTTGAACAGGTCAACTAAAGGAGTGTGTTGTTGTTGTTGTGTGTTTGACACCAGGCCTTGTCTCCGTCTGTTTTAGAAAAGTGACTTCTTGAAGGTTTAGGTGGAAATATTTTTGACGTAAGGGCTGTTGGTTGAGTAACATATTTGCGCATCTTTGGCAGTTTTTTTTTTTTTTATCATCATTATGATCATTATACAGGTATAACAACAATGAAACACAACCCTGGGTCGAAGGAAAAGTTTGATTAAATAACACAAAACACACACACGTAAGATATATATGAAAATACAAAATAAACATGTTCAGAAAGAGTACAATGAATATCAAAATAAAACATGCATTTTCCATTATACATTACTGTTCATTTATGACCATTATTTGTCATTAAATATCATTTTTTTCAATAGTAGATACTGGAATAAACAATAGCTCCAGACCTGTGATGGTGTTGGACAACAATCACTTCATTTACAGCAGGATTTGCAACATTAGCGACTTAGTAGTTGAATTCCAAGTTAGAATTTCACATTAAAATGAAAAACAAGATAGAGGCTTTACTTTTGTCTTTGCAAGAAAACCAGACTTTTTTTTTTTAACATGTGAGAAATTTGTGATTTTAAAGTCTGTGTCTTCAGAAGCAGCAGAAAAAAAAAGAAAGAAAATGTTCTCACCGTGATTCAGTCATGAATTCAATTATATTTCTGTTCACTATCACACTCTGATTGTGTGTGTGTGTGTGTGTGTGTGTGTGTGTTTGTTAAAGGGAGGCTGGATTAAGCAGCACAGGATCTGTCATGGTGACATTTGTGTCCCCTGGCGGAGCAGCAGGGGTCCTCCTCACCTCTGTAACCTTCAACTTACAGCCCTTACTCCCTCTTCTGCCTCCCTCTCCTGTCCACCACACACCCACCACGTCTGTAGGGAAGGGGAGGGGTGTAAGGACACGAGAGAGCAAGGAAAAAAAAAATAAAGAAGGGGGGATGAGATGAAGGAGAAGAGAGGCTGTTAAAACTGGAGGAAAAGTGCAGCGAGGAGGAAGAGGACGAGAGGATGACAAATATAAATCTGTTTATTTTTTTATTTTTAGGAAGTATGAGGTAATATGATTAAATTTTCATCGTGGTGTGAAGAAAGCAATGACAAGCTCCCTGACAGGTTTAATTAGTAATTCAAGCTTCTGTCACATTTTCCAAAAGTCGATTGTTGTCTAATTTGCTGTGTCTACAAATATTGTGAGACGTGTGTGTGTGTGTGTGAAATCTACTTGCAAATAAATTAATCCGGTGAATAGATCTCAATATTTTAATACCTAATGGATTGTTCGATAGATTTGACTGAAGTAAGGCAGCGATGCAAAGTTACGCTGTTCAAACTGGCTAGCAATGGCGGTACGGGGGGGCAGTGTAACTTGATTTTGGCCGTAAGTCAGAAGTCACGTACTGTACATAAGTCTGAATGATAGAACAAGACTCTCTTAATAATTTATTGGAACCTTTGCTTGTATGATCACCTCCAAACAACATCTTGTCGCTGTCTTCTTCTACAGATGACAGGGAACTGGAAGGTTGAGCTGAACCAAGTCAGATACGTTTGAGTTTGACTGCAGATAGATTGCAGGATTCTCAAATATTATTTTTACTTGTTAACTGTGATCACGTGACCTGTGTGCACTTCCACTTCTGTCCTCTATGATGTACCAGTTACTAGAAACAAGAAACTAGTCACATTGTCTCCTGTAACTCTCTGTCCTGGATCGTTGTCAAACCGTGGTTCCCATCCTCTCACCCAGCAAATAAGCATAAAATGGGCCAAACTGTGGTGGACGGGGGCGATGGGGTGACGAGGGGGGGTTGTTGGATTTGTGGTTTAAAGCTGTGAGATCGGGTGCCCTTTTTTCACTACTCTTTGAAGAAGGGGCCCATGAAATGATCCAACAGGATTATGTAAGTCATCATGGATGCTGCTGCGTCCTGTCATGCGTTCATACATTCAAATCCCCTCGTGCTTCTCCACACAGTGTGGGTTACTGCCTATCCCATTCACCACGGTCCTCTCTGCTGCTGACTTTCACTGGTGCTTTGGTCCACGTGAACCAGACAGGATTAGGGACCAAAAGAAGGACTTGTTAAAAGATCGTCATCTGCGTGTGCTCGACATTTGACTGGAGAGTTTCTGCTGCGTAAAGCTTTGCTGCTCGCTCACTTCCTCTCAGCTGGTCGTGTGGAGGCAGAGGTCTGGCGTGTTCATCAGCCCGCGGGCCTTTATTTGACCGTCAACCCGGCTTGTGAATACTCGTCTCCTCGGAACGTGGACGCTGCTGCTGAGGTCACGGTGTGACCTTGGAGCGGTGGACACCGTGTTTACCAGACGACCCTGTGTTCAAGCTGTGGACGCTGCTGCTGCTGCTGCTGATGCTGCTGCTGCTGCTGCTGCTGCTGCTGCTGCTTCCTATCAACCACCTCATACAAGTCAAAGAAGATTGTCTTGTGTTTTTTGTTTTTTTTCTAAGAAAGTTTGATGTGCGCTGCCTTGTGGTGAACCAACGAAAGTTCATTACCTTGAAATAATTGTAATTCACTTTGCTTTAATGTCACTCAATCCTGATGCACCATTACAGTGCCTTCTGATTTAAAAAAAAAAAAGTGTGAAAAAAAAACTTTCATCACACCTTTATGGCTTTATTCTTTATTTTACAGCAACTTTAGTCACAATAAATGCAGAGGAAATGAAGAGAGCGACGGTTCTGACTTAAGGTGCAACATTTCTGACAAACAACAAAGATCTGGGAAATCCCCCCTCCCCCAGCTCGTCTCACCCCAAAGTGCTACAATATATTTTTAACTATGAAACACCTGTGAGGTCTGCGTAAAGCAACAGAAGAAATATATTTAAAAAAAAGAATTAAATGTGGGACAAATTTGTGATTTATTTTTTCAGTGAACTGTGACAGATCATGACGATATTATAAGACGTTTACCAAAAAAAAAAATCATCTCCTTCTTTGGTGCAGAAACGTTGATGTTTGTAGAATAAGGAAAGGTTAAAGGACGCCCACATGTCTGGGTCAACGTCGTTCAACGGTCCAGAGCAGGAACGTGGGTTCAGACTGAGGTCATTTGAAATGAGAACATACATTTCACTAGAACTCAGGAAATTACCTGATGTTACGTTGAAGTCTTACTCTGATTGGTCAATCTGAAATAACCGTCCTGAAATAGAGACGACTCTCACACCCTCCAACCATTGATGCTTGTGATGACTCAGTGAGTCACACTTACTGATTTACTGATTTAAAAAAAAAAAAAAAAAAAAAAAGAATTCTTTGCCGCATAGATATGACTTTTTCTATCTTAATATCTCCACTAATCTCTGCCTTTTAAATCCAAAGTGTCCAGGTTTGTATCCATGTGAAGTAATTAAGGGAATAAACTCCACTCTGTGCAGATATGATTTTGTAAATGTGCATGATTTGGTGTAATATAAGCGCTCATATCTACACAGAGAATATGGATTTGCATATTTACAGCGCGCACACACACACGCTCATCTTGCAGTGTTGCACTGCTGTGTGTATGCATCTGTGTGTGCATATGTGTGTGTGTGTGTGTGTGTGTGCGCACACAGATTCAAGCCACCCTTGCCCCCACCCGGCTCATTAATATGTATGTGTTCTGAGGCAGCTCGCGAAGACGATGTGTTTCTCACCAGCTGATTAATGCTGTCTGTCAATTACCTCTAGATCCTACCGTGCTGTGGAGCTTCCCCCAGGACCACACAGACCAGGTTGGAACACACTCATGCTACTCTCTCTCTCCCTCCCTCCCTCCCTCTCTCACCCTCTCCTTCCAAATCTCTCTCTCTCATTCTCCCACCATCCACCTTCTCCTTCTCTCTCTTCCCACTTGCTTTTCTAATGCCCCCGCTCACCCTGCCATCCTGTGGTAACCTCCCACCACACCTAACACCACCACCACCACCACGCTGCTCCTCCTCACCCGTACCTGTTCTCTCTCCCTCTCTCTCTCTCCCAGTCTCATTGCATGTCTGCTGGCCGCTAATGAAAAGTGGTGAGCAGGTCTTCAATAACAGACGAATCAGTAATTATCATGCAGCCGTGACAGGAATACACACCTCTGTTACCCCCCCCCCCTCCCCCTCCCACCCCACCCAACCCAACCCCCGCTCCCCTGTATTATCTTTTTCCTTTCAGTCTCATTGTCTCTCGGCCGGTTTGCTCCCGTTTCCACTTTACGACAGCATCAGCTAAAATTCAACCTAAAAACGTCAACTTCAGCAGTGTTTGTTAACACACTGCCATAGTTGTGTGTCGGCGCTGGCATCACAGTCACAGTCACGCACCACACGGTAACAAACAAACAGAGGCTTAGTTATAACATGACCCAACCTCTGGTCAAACTTTGGAACTGAGTTTGACCGGAGAGTTGAGGTTTCTGCCCCGTCAGGGCAACTGGTCCCACAAAACAAGTAACAAACGTCAACAAACAAACATGGACAAAGACAAGACATGTTGTGGTAATTCTTCAGTATTTGCTGTACAAAAACATAATTTAGCCAAAGACAGAAGTCACGTCACTGAGATTACAGATTAGAGATTAGAGATTAAAAATACACAGGACAGGTGTCTGGTATCCTGAGTGACTCCGCCCCATTGAAATAAATTGGAATAAACGTTGCATTGGGACCACCATGGAGGTGACATCATCGCTGACATCATTAATGTTTTTCATCAGCTGTTGATCATAGTCTTGTATCTCACCTCTGTGTGTGTGTGTGTGAGAGAGAGAGAGAGAGTGTGTGTGTGTGTATATAAACACATTAGTTGTCGGTGTATCTGTGTGAACCAGGAGTGAAGCACATGTTTGAACACACCCTAAATATAATCACTATAATTAAGTGCCACTCACCCAGCACTTATCTGAGCCGCTCATGAATGACCTGATCAGATTATTAGACCTTTACAATGATAACCCCCCCCCCCCACACACACACTTTGTCCCACACCACTAACAGAATCCAACTTGAACTGTATGGTCATCATCCTGGTGATGATTCTCTGACTCCTGCTGCTGGCGCCCGTTGCGTGTGTTTTCCTTCACCGACTGTTTGGTTTGACAAACGTTGGACACACAACCGCAACGAGTCGGCAGCGAGCGAGGCGCCGAGATGGACAAGTGAAAGAGGGGAAATTGAGAGGAAGACAACAATATGTGAGCGTAGGCTAACGATTTCTAAACACGGCAGCCGAGGCGGTGGGTTTAAACCGCGCTCCTGTCTCTCTGATCCACTTTGAGGAATAAACGGGCTTGTAAAAGAGACGCTCCAGGCGCAAGTCTGCCTGCCCCACAAGAACCAGAGCAGGCTATCAGAGTAAGTGGTGCAGGGAGTGAGGGAATGAGAGTGTGAGCACAAAATTACAGACCTGCAGAGGTAGGCACAGGAAGTAGCGGTGAAGGAAGAGAAGTGGGGGAAAGAAAAAGAAAAAACTGGATCTACAGAGAGTCAGAGTCAGAGTGGGGGAAATGGGGTGGGGGGGCTGTAAACACAGCACATATGTTGACACGGGCTCGTCTCATCCTTCTAATCCAGCTTGTCTCCTCTCTTTAGCCTCCCCAAAAAAAAGGATCTTACTTATGTTTAATTCTGTTGTCGGCCAGATTGTTTGTATGGATAAGATGGCCCTTAAGATGGCGAGTTAGCATCCTGTGTACAGAGGGGTTGGCCCTTTCCCCCATATACATAAAGGCTGTATTCACGGGCCTCATTACCAGGATTAGGCCTTCTTTACTCCTTTGTGGGCCCGTAGGCTGGAGTCCTCTGTAGCCACAGTCTCTGTCTCTTTCTGTGGCCCGAGCTGGCCGGCATATGGCAGCAGCAGCCAACAGTCTCCGCGGAGGGGCACAGAGCTCAGAGCAAGGCCCCCTTTTGTTCGGGCCGTTATTGTTGCTCAGCGCTATGACATTTGTAGGCCGTAAGGATCGGGGTGGAGGGGTTATTCTACCCCAGGGGAGAGAGAAAGAGACAGAGAGGCAAGGCG